CATGCCAGTTGCCACGAATCTGTCATATTACCAGCAAAATATTAGTTAATGAAGATTCCACTTTTTAATGACTAAAGTTGTGGAAGGAGCCCCAAAAATTCGTTGTCGATTTCTTCGACTTATTAGCCGCTACATAGTTTCCCTTGAACTTATTCTTACAAGTGTAGAGTACTCACGAGCTCCTTCATATCAAATTGTCTCCCCGCATGATCTAACACGCTCGGCAACATATTCCGGTTTGCATTCCTGGATCTGTTCGAGAGGTTATATTCAATTATGCCCTTCCACGAAGCTTTCAGATCAACCCAGTCAGCGAAGAGCTGAGGAGACAGAGAAGTTTCTGTCCGACTCCTGAATCCACTTCAAATAGAAAGATCTTAAGCCTACCTTTCGAAGTCTTGGATGGAAATAATAAAGGAGCGGAAACTTTGCAATGAAACCAGCTACTGGACTTATGCTTAGTCTCATTTCTCTTGTGATGAAGGACCGGGCTTGTTTCACGAAGTCATCATTGAAAAGAAGGTCTGACAGCGATGGGATAACTCAGAGCAAACATGTCTTCATTTGTTTTCAGTGATAAACACTTGCCTTTGGATTGCTGTGGATTGGGCTCCCCAACAAACACGGCAGATGCAATATTAAAATTTCCCATCACTAGGTCGTCTTCGGGACCCCAACGAGTGACGACACCTTCGGCGTTACAGGAAGTGTGTAGGTTTTGCATCTACAGAATAGCGAAACACCGTACTTCATAGGGTAAGATTGGTAACTAACCATGTTGTCGGCCACAGAGCAGATCATAGGGAGCATGGAATTTACGCTGCTGTCGATGAGGTGGCGGGAGACTATTTTTCTATGAACTTTCCAATCGTCGCCTTCAAGGAATACAACGCTACATTGCCCGAGGAGATTGGGCACCTGTGCCCCACTGAAGGTTGTTGGTCTACTCTTGGCAACTTTACGGAATATCTCCATATCAGATACCAAAACAACCGTAGTGGTTAAGAGTCTGAAGTCAGCGATGTCATGGAAATATCCTCAAGACTGATGTTAGAATGGCTTCACCTGAAGGAGCATATCTTCCCGTACTCATTGGAAATATTTGTAATCTTCTCGATCTGCTTTTCCGGGCTCCAGAATGGCATACATAGAACAGAGAGAGCCTGCCACCGCTCCATACGATTAGTTCAATTTAGTTGAGTTC